TGGAGCAGGTCCAGAGAAGGGCAACGAAACTGGTGAAGGGTCAGGAGCACAGGTCTTATGAAGAGCAGCTGAGGGAGCTGGGGTTGTTTAGTCTGGAGAAGAGGAGACTGAGAGGAGACCTTATCACTCTCTACAACTACCTGAAAGGAGGGTGCAGTGAGGTGGGTGCTGGCCTCTTCTCTAAAGTAACAAGTGATAGGACAAGAGGAAACGGCCTCAAGTGCCCCTGTGCCAGGGGAGGTTTAGGCTAGATATTAGAAAGAATTTATTCACTGAAAGAGTGATCAGGCGTTGGAACAGGCTGCCCAGGGAAGTGGTGGAGTCACCATCCCTAGAGGTGTTCAAGAAACGTGTAGATGTGGTGCTTAGGGACATGGTTTAGTGAGTTAGGTGGTGTTGTGTTGGACTTGATGATTCTGGAGGTCTTTTCCAACCTTAATGATTCTATGATTTCTATGATCTACTAATACAAAACACAAAATTTCGATTTGGTAAAGATACTTCAACCATTAACAGATACTGACAAAGGAACAAGTGACAGTGTTACACCTGCTGGAAGACCACAAATGAATGAGAAAACATACTAGGAACACTACCAGTGCACTACATCAGAATCCTTTTCTGTACTGCAGTGATTGCCTTCGACATTCCACCTGCTTGCCAATCAGTCTCTCTATTCAGAAGTAATTTTCCTGTAAAATTTGACCTCAGTGATTGAATTAAACTTCTTTTTAATAGATTATTTCTTATGTAATTTTCTTGTCCTTCATTCCGAAGAGTACCTCTCTAGTTTACGGGACACAAGACCTTTAACTTAGGAAATAAACACCCTCTTCCACGAACCTAAAGTAACTTCACTCTCCTGCTGTTTTACCCTGTTCATGAGTTCTGTAGATGTCTCTAGGATTGATCCGTAATCTCTTTACTTAATTTTCAGTGTGTTTGTTAATAACCATCTTCTCTTAAATAGTAAGCACTTTGAGTAGTTTTATTGTATTGTCACTGATTTCTGTGGTGTTCATTTCCAGGCAGCTATGGGTTGACATGTAATCATGCGCAGTGTTCTGTCAGCTTCTCTAACTTAGTCAGGAAGTACTTGGTGGATATGGTGCCCATTCTAAAAAAAACCCAAACAAACAAGAGTAAAAACAAAAAAGTTAACTTTGCTGATGTATACTGATGCAGTCTTGGAGGAGGAAGGTTGGGGGTTTTTTACTTTTGTTTGGGATTATTTTGTTTGGTTGGTTTTTTTTGTCTTTTTTGTTGTTGTTGTTGGTTGGTTAGTTGTTTTTAACATTTCCTGTGTTGAATCAGTTTGAGTTACTTCTTGGTCTCTTAAGGGCTTGAGAACCGCTAATGAATAGCTGACCACTATTTTGTTTGCTATAGTATCTTCTTAATATTTGGCAGCTCCCTGGAGGAATTTGTGAAGACTTGATTGGTCTATAATGATTTGAATGGAAATACAGTGTGGGTGAATACCCGTCTCCTGCACTCCAGACAGCGTGTCTGGATCACAGTGTTTTTCTAGCCCCTGAGGCACTTCATCAGTCTGTGCATTCAGGAAATCCTTCTGGTGTCAGCAGTATTCTGTGGGGGCTAGAAAACAGTATGGTGAGACAATGCTCACAACTCCTCTGCAGGAGAGGATGTGAAGGAATGAGCGCTGGGAGAATCTCATCCCCTTGGTTGGTGAGCAGTGATTGACCCTAGTCATTGTGCACTTTGGGTCTGGATTGGACACCTTTGTCTAGGTTGTGCTTTCAGTGTCTGGTTGTAAGCCTGACAAATGTAGGGCTTGAGCTTTCCCACCAGGGAGCTCTCGAATAGTCAAACCCAGAATCTTCAGCTGTATTTTCCTTGGTCATGATAACAGTTTTTACTCTTTACTGTATATTAGTTCAGCAGAGTTCTGCAAGAAGTTTTTGAATTGATGTATCTGCCCTTTTCCCCCCCTCCTTGCTATTTTTGAAAATGAGGCTGTAGATTTTCTTTCATATTGATCTTTCTAGAACCACTGTTCAGTTCATTCTAAAGTGTTAAACTTACTGAAGTTGAAAGTTTGTTTTATGTGATGATGGGTTTGTTTAGCTTGTTATATTCTGCATTAAAACAAGTACTGAAGTGTTACCCATTCTTTTGTCCTTGCATGTTATGTGATCCTCACTGCTTTCATAACCTATTAGATTTTCTGCCTGTCAGATGAAACTGTTTCCACAGTTCGTTATTTTACCTTTCAGTTTGCTTTCCTCAATGTGTTGCTACTTGTTTTTGAAAATGTTTTATGTCACCTACATGCAGTTCTGTTCTGCATGCTCTGCTATTTCAAGACCACTTCAAAAGATGTGGTTGAAGAAATGTATCTAAATGATAACTTCTGATATGTTATCCTGTTCTAGTCCTCATAAATTATTGAAAGAAAGTAAATATTTTAGTACGCATTTTCCTACAGCAGGCACAAGTCTTTACTCCCCACCCCTTCCTGAGCCTGGGGAGAAATCCTGGTGATCATGCTTTGCAATACATCTTGCAAGAATTTTTTACTTTTTTTAACATGTGTGGTGATTTACAAGACCATAAAGAAATAATATTCTGAATATCCCTATTTTTTTTTTTGAAGAAAGCAATGAAAGAGGCTTGACTGTACAAAGAAGAGTCTTCTGTTTGTTTGCAAGTAAGAATTGTCACAAATTTATTAAAAAAACACTGGAAATTTCAGGCATTCTGTTAGCTTGTGACAAATTGCCTTTTGAATTGTTTGAACCTGTCATACAAGTGTATTTCTCAAAGAGTAATGAGTTTGTTATAATTTGAAATATGTTAGTGCTATTTCTTAAAAGTAGTTTTTTATGCATTCATACCTATTTTTCCATCTCAACATTATATTTATTCATCGTTATGGAACATCTTGGTCAGTTCAACATGTTTCCCAGCCCCGTTTCTCTTAAAATGTTATTTTTTTTCTTCAAAAAGTGTACTACCCCATCCCCAAAAAATATGAAGCTGACTGAGCAGTGGTTTCTGTGTGACTGTATTATCTCTTCAATTAGTGATGGGTTTAGAGTAATCATCACGAATTGTGTTTGGTATGTACTACAATAGTGGATCTTTGATTTCTGCAAAGTCTAGCATTTTGACTATAATTATGGCAGACATGATTGCTCCAGCTTCTGTTTTTAAGACTTTTCTTTTATACGGTGCGTGATAGAAATCATGCAGAGTCTTGCTTTAGATTAAGTCAATGTGTACTCAGAACTTAATGCACATACTGCATTATGGGAAAAATCAATTTTGCCCACAGGATGCATCCCTGCTGTTGGGCTGCTTCAGGAGTTGGTGGAGCACCGCTTACCTGGAGGCTGTCCAGGGAGGTGACTTCTGTACAGCTGGGTTCTCAGAGCCGAAGTGCAGTTTACGTGAAAAATGAGTCATGAGGCTTACTGAAGCAGATCAATGAGTTGCACTTGGCAGGACATGCAGTAGCTACATTACCATAAATCCAGGTTGTCTGAGAAAGCAGGTGAGTTACTGAAAGGTGGCATAATTTGAATAATGGAGATTTAGCCTTTAAGCTTTTACATTTTAAGACCAGTTTGACTGGTTAAAGTGTAGAAAGGAAGTACTGTTGCATAAAATATGCAGTCAGATGGAAAAAGAATACAAAGCTGGAAACGCAAGTCACTTTATCATTCAGATATAAAAGATTCTTTAAAGGAAATTAAGAATTTTGAATTTTTCTGATGAAAGAGGAGTTTACTGAAGTTGTTTGTTGTTTGGTTGGTTTTTTAGCATCCACAAATCTGACTTATTATGAGACATTTGTACAACTATTGAAAATATAAGGTTGCTAGTAAATCAAGGAAAGATAAACTTTTTGGTTTTCTTTTAAGTGTAGGAATTGAGGGGGAATTCAGCATTAAGGGGGAATATCTGGATCATATAGATCTGTGTTTTTACTGCACATCAAAGGTGTTATATTATGCATTGACAACACTGTCATTGCATTTGAGATGAAGGTATTTCTTGATGTACTTGTAAAAAGTGAGAAATTAATGAAAAAATAACCTTTTCTGGTACTAAGACGAATAGCTTCACATTAGTCAAGAAAGCTTCTTTCCTAAAGCTAATTAGCAGTTAGCCTGTCTTCATTTAAAGCAGTCTTGTCTTTCTTGGCACAGTTTTGGGACTGTGTGCACAAATGTTCTTGCCTGAAGAAGATCGTCATTGGGATGTTGTCAAAGCTGGGAGGGGGAGGGGGCAAAGAGGTGGAGGAGCAGGAGTATAACTCTTGCCTCCTTTTACTATGTTTTGGATTCCCAGAGCAGCCCTTGCGTGGTTGTGTAGGACTTGTGTAGCGGACGTTGTCCGTGGGACTGCTACTGGAGTTAACACTGGTAGTAGTGATGGGCTGTTGTTAATCCGAAGCCTTTTCCTCCATGTAAAGCACACCAGCCTTCCTGATTTATCTCCTCCTTCCTTTTGTACCCATCACATCCTGTTCATCTGTTTTGCTTGCAAGCAGCCTTAGGATAACATACTTTTGAACTTCTCTGTAAGGATGAGAAGGGGACTTCTTCAGTGTTGAGCTTCAAGTGAGAGGATGTGCAGGTTGCCACTGTATTTACCCAAGACCATGCAACCTGGTAGCATCTGAGTTAGGTTGTCTGCCTTTACCTTTTCATTTGTTTATGAAATTTCCTGCTTATTGATGTGTCCAAACGATTCCAAATGAATATGTATTCTGAGGTTTTTATATCTGTCCATTTAGTTTTTTCCTTATTTATTCCCTATATAATGAGCCTAGGATAGCAAATTTGTATTATTACTGGTTACTGTATAATCTTATCTTAAAAGTGATGTAGAATGGTTCTTATTTTGGAAAAAGTAAGGATAACTGCATTTGAGAAGTGTGAGATCCTTAGTCTTTATGGATGAAGGGGTTCCATCTAGATGGAGGAGCCAAACAAAGTAGTGGGAGAAAGCGCAAATGCAGCCTTCCTTGAGAATTCTTTTAAGCAACGTGAGTTTGTGTCTTTCTACAGTCTGCAGGCAGTTCCTACATTTTTTTATTTCTTCAGCTCACTGTTAGAGCATTTACATACATTATTATGCAATGGTTAGATTAAAAGAACAGTCTATGCTCATAAATTTTCATTGCAGAATTACAGTAACAGCTGAAAGGAATAAGAAGAGGGATCCTATTATTCTAGATACTGTATGTATGAGAGTCCTGACCCTGCAGTTATTTTGGTGTGGGAACTTTAAAGTACAGGTAGACCTACTTAAAAGTAGGATGGAGTTTTTGCATTCTGCAATACCTTCCTGAACTGGGTTTAGAGATAAAAAGCCAATCCTTGCAAGTCATTAGCATTTGATCAGATGAAATAACTTTTAAATTCTTTCTTTGAAAAGACAGTGATCAGAGAGCGTTATTTTACTATTGTATCTTTTGTTTCTGCATTTTAAAAAACACAAAATAAAGGTGCATCCTAGCAAGTCAATTCATATGTCGTCAACTTGTTTCAATTGTAGAATTATGCAAACTGTTTCTAGAATTTCTCTTTTGGTTAGGAAATAGTAATCTCCTATATACATTTAGGCATTTAACTTTCACATCTGTGACCTGTATTTTTGAATTTGCTCTTGTGTCTGGGGTTAAAATGGGAAGAACTAAAACTAGAGTTGGATTAATTGTGAGTATGTTTTGAAACAGTATACCAGACTCTCATCTCTCCGGTTGAAGACCTTTTTGTATTGGTATAGCTGTTTGAGAAGACAGTAGGCATCATCATTCATCTCTGATATGAAGAAACCTGAGAATTAAAGGATCCCATGAAAATCTTTAATATGTGACTGCCCCTTAGAGGAAATTTGATGTGTAGTCCAGTTGCAGTGATTGTAACGTGGTTTTTTTAGACAATGTTGTTAAAAATGAAGCCAATTTCTCATGATCTGTTGGCAAGTCAAATTTTTAACTTCATTTACTGAACTGATAAATTGTGACACGTGAAAACATAGTATTGCGTTAAAAATAAATGTTGACAGTAGCATGTAGCAGAATAGTATGTCTGTGCTGATAGATAAAGGAAGAGGGAAAGA